TCCAAACACATCTGGAGGATATAAGTTAAGGAAGAGTGCTACATTTTTGACACCAGGATCACATTTAAAAAAAAAAAAAAACAGAATAGCAGAGTTAGAAGGGACTTTGGAGGTCTTCTAGTCCAACTCAGTATAACATTTCAAATGCTGTCCAATTTCTTGTTTAAAACCTCAATTGATGAAGCACCCACAACTTCTGGAGGCAGATAGTTCCACTGGTTAATTGTTCTCACTGTCAGGAAATTTCTCCTTAATTTCAGGTTGCTTCTCTCCTTGATTAATTTCCATCTGTTGCTTCTTGTCCTGCCTTCAGGGGCTTTGGAGAAGAGATGGACCCCCCCTCTTCTTTGTGGCAGCCCCTCAAAATCTGGATGACTGCTGTCATGTCACTCCTAGTTCTTCTTTTTGCACTAGACTAGACATGTCCAATTCCTGCAACTGTTCTCCATATAATAGAATAAGAGAGTTGGAAGGGACCCTTGGAGGTCTTCTAGTCCAACCCCCTGCTCAAGCAGGAATCCCTATACCATTTCAGACAAAATATGTTTTAGCCTCCAGTCCCCTAATCAGCTTTGTTGCTCTTCTCTGCATTCTTTCTGGAGTCTCAGAATAACCATTTTTTTTAAAGGAACCAGTTTGTTAAGCTCAGATAGTCCTTGACCTACAACTGGTCACTCAGTTATGAGTGCCCTGAAAAAGAGAGCATGACCTGGGTCTGAAATTCTGACAATCACCACCACCCCACAAAGACATAACCACTCTTTATGGACATTTATAATGTCCTATAGTCAAGTGAGCGTGTTTACGTGTCTATGATCAAATGAGTGTCTTTCAGTTTTGCTGAAAACTGTCAGTTAGTTTTGGTTTCTGGCAAAATCCCATCTATAGTGAATCATTGATTCATTTAACCATCATGGCAACTCTTTTATGACTTCCATGTTTGTCTAATAGCCACCCCAAAAAAGGGTCATTTTGTTTACGACTAACCATTGTAATGGGCAAGCTTCATTACAGTCATAACTCAAGGATTACCCGGGGTTATTTTCAGACTACAAAGTCAAGAGAAGATGAAGTTTTGTGTAAGTAAACAAGAAAGGAGCATTGTCTTTGAATTAAGTGGCTTAGAAATATAATCGACATGTAGATAATCCCTCTGTTTTGAGAATTGTTTAAAAAAACATCCAAGACTGTGTCACAACAAATATTTTATTCTCAATATCCTTGTTATAATTACACTTGCTTTTTTTTTTTTAATAACATAGATCCCCAAACTCCAAAAGATAGTTCACAGAGAAAAAGAAGAAACAGAACACATATTCAACGCAAAAGAGTTATTTACATCAGCTTTAGAAGCAAATCTTGGCTATTAGGTCTGACAAAGGAAAAAAAGAGGGATGCTTGGCTCATTCATTCAGCATATTACATTCATTTTGTTGGACAATCAAGAGAAAACAAACATAACGAAATAATTTTGTGCAGGAGAGCAACTGGGAACTTTTCCCACAACCACAAAAATTTTGTTAAAACCGGGGTTCAAAAATATCCATCCGCAGGATCTTGAGTCAGTTACCCCAAAGTAAATCCACTCCCCCAATGGGCTTACTCTAAAGCAATTTGGCACAGTATTATTAATTACAGATCATCCTCAACTTGCAACAGTTTCATTTAGTGACCTTTCGAAACGACAGTGGCACTGAAAAAAGGGAGTTATGACCGTTTTTCACACTTATGACCGTTGCAGCATCCCCAGGGTCATGTGATCAAAATTCGGACGTTTGGCAACTGACTCGTATTTATGACGGTTGCAGAGTCCTGGGGTCATGTGACCAACTTTTGCGACCTTCTGACAAGCAAAGTCAATGGGGGAAGCCAGATTCGCTTAATGACTGTGTCATAAGCCCTTTTTTCAGTGCTATTGTAACTTTGAACAGTCTACTAAATGAATGGTTGTAAACTGAGGACTGTATTCCTCTGTTTTGTCTATTTTCTCTTAATTTGTGTTTTAAAATGCATTCCCCCTAAAGCAGTGGTTCTCAACCTTTTTAATGCCGCGACCCCCAACCGGTCGTAAGTCGAGGACTACTCAACTGGTGCAGCACCGTTTGCAGAATGGGATTTTTGGTGGGCTCAGCAGGGCAGAGACAGCCTGGACAATTCCTATTGGCTTTTGAAAGCCAATAGAATTAGACTCTATTCAAGAGAGTCTATTCTATTGGCTTTCAAAAGCCAATAGAATAAAAGGGAGCAGCACAGCTAAGGAAAAGGGGGGAAAAAATGGCGGACTGCCTTGTTTAGCGACCCCCGTGAAATGGTTGTTCGACCCCAAATGGGGTCCTGACCCACAGGCTGAGAACCACTGCCCTAAAGGATGATATCTGACTGTCTGTACTTCTTGCTATAATTTTGTACAGGTGTTTTAGCTGAGGATTGTGCCACAAAGTTGGAAAGAACTTTCAGTCTGCCCAGAAAGGGTGCCCAGTTTCAGGCTGTGCCACCCAACTATTTTAATTTCGGGACTGTGGTGTCCTTGGTGATCTCGGAGCTTGGTGGTTTTCTTGCAGATGTTTCATTGCCCACCTAGGTAAGGTCGTCAGGGCTGGAAAGATGTGAGGTTTGTTCTCTGTTTATGTACAAGTGGCTTGCCCTCCCAGTGTTAGTGGAGATGTGATTTTCTCCTTAAGATATTGTTTTCTGCTGGATGGTTTATCTGGTGTTAATCTCTGCTTATCTGGCTTTTTCTCTCTGAGGGGTCCTCCTCAATGGCCTTTAAAAGAAAGGAAGAGAGGGAGGGAGGGAGGAAGAAAGAGAGGAAGGAGGGGAGGGGAAGAAAGGCAGGAAGGGGAGAAGGGAAGAAGGAAGGGGAGAAGAGGGGAAGGTAGAGGAGAGTAGGAGAGGGGAGGGGAGGAGAGGGGAAAGAGAGGACGAGACGAAGGGAGGAAGAATGGAAAAAAAGAAAAAGAAAGAAAAAGGAAAGAAAAAGAAAGAAAGAAGGAAAGAAGGGAGGAGGGAAGGAAAGAAAGAAAGAAGGAAGGAATGAAGGAAAGAAAGAAAGAAAGACAGACAGACAGGAAGGAAGAAAGAAAGAAAGAAAGAAAGAAAGAAAGAAAGAAAGAAAGAAAGATAGAGGAAAGGAAGGGGAAGGAATAGGTGAGGAGAGGAGAGAGGAGAAAGAGGGAGGAATGAAGGGAGGGAGGGATGAAAGAGAGAAAGAAGTAAAGAGAGAGAGAGAGAGAGGGAAGCAGGGGAAGGAGAGGAGAAGGAGGGAGGGTGGGGGAAGGAAGAAAGGAAGAAAAGGAAAGGAAGGAAGGAAGGAAGGAAGGAAGAAAGGAAGGAAGGAGATGCACAATAGAGGAATAAATGCAGCCTATCAAAGCACTGGTACTGATAGCTTTGCCAAGGATTGCTCAGGCACCCAGCTGGCCAGCATTCGAATCCTCTTTTACGGCAGCTTTTACACCAAATATACAAATGAGTTTGAGCGCAAAAGCCAAAATGAAAAGCTCAGCTGCGGCTTATATAAAGCAAGATAAGTTGCTTATAACAGAGAAACTCTTGAGGCTCCCACTGGAGAACCAGAGAATTAGGTGACAGTGGTTACATGCCGTTTTATCCTCTCCTCCTTGACACAGGCAGTCCTCGACTTACAACAGTTCATTCAGTGACTGTTCAAAGTTACAACAGCACTGAAAAAAATGACTTATTTCTGTTTTTTCCATATTTACGGCCATTGCAGCATCCCCAAGGTCACGTGTCCATATTCGGACGCTGGGCAACTGACTCGTATTTATGACAGTTGCAGCGTCCCGGGGGGGGGGTCATGTGATCCCATTTTGGGCCCTTCTGACAAGCAAAGTCAATGGGGGAGCCAGATTCACTTAACAACCGTGTTAGCAACTTGACAGCTGCAGGAAAGGCCGTAAAATGGGGGCAAAATTCATTTAGCCAATGTTTTGCTTAGCCACAGAAATTTTGGGCTCCATTGTAGTCGTAAGTCAAGGACTACTTGTAGTAAAAAGCACCCCAAAACCGCCGGGTGGAAAGAACAGGTGCAAAGAAGCTCACGTTGTTATGCAATGTGTAGGAAGCATCTTAAACATCTTCCTTTTTCCCTTTCCCAAACTTTTTATTAAACAGAATTTCTTCCATTACTTAGCTGCGGTGAGCAATTATTCCTTACTATGTTAACAAAATAGGAGGTGTCCCCTTTAAGGTAGGCACACACACACACACACACAAACACACACAGATATGGACACACGGACATATCACACTGATTAGAGAGAATTGTGAGACATGGAAGCCCACAAAACATCACAAAAGTCCTCTGGAAACGTCGTGCGTTGCACAAAGCCTCACAAAACAACAACAACAACCAGACATTGGTTGAGTTCAGCTGAAGCAGCTACACATTAGAAGAGGCTCTGAATGGAAGGTGAGTTCCTTTCTTCCTTCCAAGACTTAATAAAAATGAATATTTCGTCTGCCTTCTTTTTTTCCTAGTAGTAATGGCTAATGGTAGAAAATGCCACAGCTGCATACAATAGGGGGAAGGGAGGGAGGGAGGAAGGAAGGAAGGAAGGAAGGAAGGAAGGAAGGAAGGGAGGGAGGGAGGGAGGGAGGGAGGGAGGAAGGAAGGAAGGAAGGAAGGGAAGAAAAAGGGAGGGAGAGAGAAAGGAGGGAGGGATTGGTTGGGAGGAAGAAAGGAAGGAAGGAGAAAGAAAGAAAAGAGAAATGAAAAAAGAAAGGGAAGAATGGGAAAGGTGGAAGAAAGGGAGGGAGGAAAGAAGAGTGGGAGAGAGTAAAGGAAGGAGAAAAAGAAGAAAGAAAAGATAGAAAAGGAAAGAAGGGAGGGAGGAAGGGAGGGAAGAAAGAGGGAGAGAGGAAGGAGGGAGGAAGGAAGGAGAAAGAAAGAAAGAAATGAAAAGGGATGAAGGAAGAAAAAAGGGAGGGAGAAAGGAAGGAAAGGATGGAGAAAGAGAAAAATGAAAGGGAAAGGAAGAGAAAAAGAAAGAAACAAGGAAGGAAGGAAGGAGAAAGGGAAGAGGGAAAGGAAAGAAGAGAGGGAGGAAAGGAAGAAGGGAGGAAGAAAGAAAAGAAGGAAGAAAAGGAAGGAAGGGAGGGCAGTTGGCTCTCTTAAGACCTCCAGAATAGATCCCCTCTTCCAACTACATAACCCATCTACCCTTTTGGGGTGAACCTTGCCTTGACAACACCCCCACCCACCTTTTGAAAGTCAAATCAGCCCTCCAAAGTTCATCCCCTCACTCTATTTTCCGTGACTCAGTAGCCATGTTAAGGGGTCGCATCAGAAGTTTGAAAGAAAAGATATTTCTGCAATTAATCGGCACTTAATGTGCGGAAATACATATTATTCTATCTCCATATTAGTTCTATTATTTAAAAAAAAAAAACAAGAAAGAAAAAAAGTCTCCAAAAATATAACTCTATTGTACAGAGATGGCCGTTTTAGGAGATTCACAGCTTAAGAAAAAAATAATAATTCAGATCTTTTCCCAGAAGAGGGAAAAATCTGAGACCCTCCACTTGTAGGGTTGGGGGTTTTCTATCCGAGGAATGAGGTGGTTATGGTGGTCTCAATCAATTCTGGTAGGATCCATCTCTGCACCCACAATGCCCACCACCAATGGGGGTCACCCCGTGGCTCAGTGTTTGCATGACATTCTCGGTCCCGGAATAGGACACCGATGGTCCAAGATGGTGGGATCAGAAGTGTTTGGACGTGAGGCACAGACAACCCAACTTCATGAGATGTTAATTCATGGCCCTCAGTTTGGAGGACCCCCAAAATTTGTCAATGGTACCAGGGAAATGAAGAATGGAAGGCAATGGGAGGGTTTGAACTCTTGGGACAAAGGGTAGATCAAGGTGGTCCTGGTCTGGAGAACCTCGTTCCTCTAGATGGAACGGCTTTATGGATCTTCTCTTCCACCCATCAGAGATGACAAAGCTTCAGAACTCCAGAAACTTTCCATCAAAGGGAGGTGGATTTGTTTTTGTTTTTTTTAAAAAGGCAGATGGACGTAACAGCCCGAACGCTACCCTACTTAGGACTAATTTTCGTGGTGTCCAAAGTAGGGTTCGTCATTCTTTCTCTCTTTGGGAGGGCGTGGTGGGAGATGACGTGGGGGTCTTACGGGCTCATGTGGCCAAGTTCTCGGCGTGGACGCTGGACATCCGGATCTGTGAACTGCTCTTGCTCAAGATAGACAGTTGAGTCCCCCCGTTGACACCGCTACTCGCCAGGGAGGGATGGCGGTGTTTGAAATCCACAGCAAAATAACGGTTGACTTTCCAGCTCCGCCATTTTCTTTTGATTTCGGATTGCACCTTGAGGGAGAAACTTTAAGAGGTCATTTTTTTTTTAATGTACTTGGACGCCGGGGGGGACATGATGCTCGTACACACTTTCAAAATGTAAGAGGAAAAAGATGTTGGGTTGTTGAGCCAGAGGTTTGCAGAAGGATCTAAGGCAGGGGTTCTCAACCTGTGGGTCGGGACCCCATTTGGGGTCGAACGACCATTTCACGGGGGTCGCCAAACAACGCAGTCCGCCATTTTTTTCCCCTTTTCCTTAGCTGTGCTACTCCCTTTTATTCTATTGGCTTTTGAAAGCCAATAGAATAGACTCTCTTGAATAGAGTCTAATTCTATTGGCTTTCAAAAGCCAATAGGAATTGTCCAGGCTGTCTCTGCCCTGCTGAGCCCGCCAAAAGTCCCATTCTGCAAACGGTGCTGCACCAGTTGAGTAGTCCTCGACTTACGACCGGTTGAGTAGTCCTCGACTTACGACCGGTTGGGGGTGGCGGCAGTAAAAAGGTTGAGAACCACTGATCTAAGGAGAAGGAGGACAGAGGGGAGACCCCTGATGGAGCTCCTCAGGCTGGTTGAATCCCCGCCCTCAAACTGGAGTGAACTGGGGAAGGAAGGGTTGACCAATGAAAGGCAATATTTATAACTCAGGGTTTAACTGTGGGATCTTTGGTGGTCTCTAAGCTTGGGGGGTTTCTTGCAGATGTTTCATGACTAGGTAACCTCATCAGTGCTAGAAGGGGGGGAGTGGGGTTTGTGGCGAGGGGGAAAAGGAAGAGGAGGAAGAGGAGGAGGAGGAGGAGGAAATAGACTGCGGGGTCTTTGGTGCTCTCTGAGCTTAGTAGTTTTCTTGTGGACATTTCATGACCCAGCTAGGGAACATCATCAGTGCTACTGGAGAAGCCAGAACTTCACTCTCTTCTAGCACTGATGATGTTACCTAATCGGGTCATGAAACGTCTGCAAGAAAACCACCCAGCTCAGAGACCACCAAGGATCCCACACTCTCTTCTTCCTGCTCCTCTTCCTCCTCCTGCTTCTCCTCGTCCTCCCCTTCCTGCTCCTCCTCCTCTGCTCTGCAAACCCAAATCCTTCTAACACTGATGATATTGCCTAGTTGGGTAATGAGACATCTTCAAGAAAACAACCCAGCTCAGAGAGCATTGAGTC